CAGATCCAGGAAAAAGGTCAAGAACACCACCAGGAGCTGTACACAGCCTTTATTAATCTGACAAAAGCCTTCAACTCTGTCAACCATGAGGCTCTGTGGAAAATCATGTCAAAGTTTAGCTGCCCAAGCAAATTTATCACCATTATAAGAGTCCTCCATGACCAGATGGCTGCCTGCATCTTGTGCAGCGGACCGATCGCTGAACCCTTTTTCATCCAAACTAGCGTAAAACAAGATTGTGTATTGGCACCCTCCCTTTTCTCCATTTTCTTAGCAGCTATGAAAACACTAACCCAAGACAGTCTACCACAGGGCACTGGCATCCAATATCAGATCGATGGCAAACTCTTCAACCTTTCTCATCTCCGTGTTAGAACTAAAGTAATATCGGCAACAATAACCAAATTCCAGTATGCAGATGATTGTGCTGTAGTTGCACACTCAAAGAAGGATCTTCAAACAGCCCTTAATTGCTTCTCTGAGGCTTACAGAAGCCTAGGGCTAACTCTGAATATCGGCAAAACAAAAGTTCTCCACCAGACAGTCCCCGGTCAATCATCAGGCCCAGCAAGGAAGATCTATATCAGCAAAAAAGAACTGGAAAATGTAGAATACTTTGCCTATCACAGAAGGCAGAAAGATGTCAAGATTCAGCACAGAATTCGCTGTGCCAGCCTTGCCTTTGGCAGACTGTCTCACTGAGTGTTCAACAATCACATCATCAGAACACATACTAAACTTTTAGTTTGTAAAACGGTGGTAATCCCAACTCTCCTCTACGGCTGTGAGACGTGGATGACCTACAGAAAATATCTGAAAAACCTGGAACACCAGCACCAACACTTTCTTCAGAAGATCCTCAATAAAGTGGAAGAATCATCGCACTAATGTCAGTGTCCTCACAGAGGCCAATATCTTCAGTGTTGAGGCCCTGATTATTCAGCACCAGCTGAGGTGGAGCGGGCACTGTATGCGCATGCCTAATGTATGCTTACCAAAACAACTGCTGTATGCCCAACACACCAAAGGAAAAAGGAAACGAGGCAGCCAAAAGAAACGCTTTAAAGGCACCCTCAAGGTAAACATCAAGAGATTGACACCACACACTGGGAGACAGCAGCCCAGGATAGGGATAACTGGCGAAGACTTGCCAGAGAAGGAACATCCACTTTTGAGGAAAATCGCCTTGCCCTGGTCACAGAAAAACGCCAGAAAAGGAAAGACAACGGTCATGCCGCAATCGCAGCCTAACCCTGTCTTCCAACACCACTTGCAATATCTGCCAATGAGCCTATGGCTCAAGAATCAGACTCTTCAGTCACCAAAGGACCCATGAAAAATAAAACCTGTGAAAGAGATCATCCTCAACCTTCAGGGATTGCAGACGACAACAGGTAAACCACAGGGGATTACTGATAACAGGGCCTAGTTGGCAAGTGCAGAGCCTATACAATTTTAATGGCTTATCAGACTTCCTAGTTAGTGTGTCTCTTGACACAAATAAAATTCTTCTCTAGTTACTTTCTGAAGCCATTCTTTTAAAAATATAAGATGATAGTGGAGGAAGGAGCAAAAGGAAAGACTTTAAAATCACAAAGAATTCATCTTTGACTCTTAACTGCCATGCCAATTCTGCAACCAGTGACAGAGGAACATCTTTAGTTTGTGGTTTCAGTGAAGAGTTAAAGCCCTTCTTAGGTTATCCAAGTCCCCTCTGCAAGGGGTATTATATTTATTCCACAAGGGCAGGTTCACACAAAACCTTATGACAGGGATTCAGGGTATTTTGTTTTAAAGGGGATTTAATTACATTTTCTAGTTCCCCTGCTTACAACAGTTCCATAAAAAGCTGCTGCCTGGTATTCAGTAAGATTAATTTAGCTGGTCAAACCAATTTCATGATGAGATCAGGACATTCCTCCCAAACACAGCACAGTTTACTATAATAATTCAGAAAAGATGCAGTTTCTTCCATATGATGGTTACTGTATTCAACATTGAGTGTAACATTTTGAGGATTTCTCTTAATAGTATCAATTAAAAATGGTGCAAATGGGCTATATGCTCTGTTATGTTCATAACAGATTTTGAAAATATTTGCATATATGTATCCATATTTATCGTTCTAGTGGTTTTAGCCCCTCTTGATTAAAACTATAGTCAAGGAAATTAGTTTTCCTGCCCATTGCTTTAAGAAAGGCAATGGTTTTGTTTTCAAATACTGACATAGCATTACTGATGTTAAGCTCTCCATTATTAATTTACGAGAAATCAAAAATCTATTTCTAACATTGCTCGAAATGCACAACACCTAAGAGAGTTGACAACGCATGATCTGGTATGTTTTAGGGCTGCTTGCAGGGACAGGATGACACTTGAATGACCTTGGAGAAAGGAGGTGATGATTTTACAGTCTTGAATTTCTAGTGCAGTACATATGTTTTAGGGATGAGGAAAGTGGGTTCAGGGATAAATGTTATATATAATGGAGAAAAGCATAATCTTTAGAATTCTGGTATTGGTATCTTTCCAAGCATCTGTAAAAGCAGGTCTAGAGGGTTACATTATGCGACTGCTTCAGTGCCACACTCCTCAATTAAACAGTAAAGGGAACACACCACAACCTTGCTTAAGTCTCCATGTACCACGACAACACAAACAAGACAGCCAATAGGCAGTGACAGACTACAAGGACTAAGGACGCTGATAAGTATTCAGGATTTGGCAAAAAATGACCCTTAACCCTATCTAGCTCTACTAAGAGACACTGCTCCATTTTGAAAGGCCAACCAATCAAAGATCAGGAAAAAGTCTCAGAAAAGAGACAACAGTGAAATTACTAAAGTGTGGAGTAATGTGGATCCAACACAAAAATGTACATACAGTTTATATAAAGTTCAAATTTTCCACAATATTAGTAAACTGAATTTACATACAGTTCCCAGACCCCATCTTACTGAGTTGAAATTACTTAGTATAGCCATCAGGTTTTGACCATTGCTTTTTCTAAGATGAAAAGAATAAAATGTAATCTATGGCCTTGCCTTGGACTAATTGACTGGACTTCCCGGGGAGAAGGAGCAGTAAAAGGGCACCTGTGTTCATGTTTGACACAAAGCCAGCAACGGTGTTTATGGAAAACTTCAGAGAGAGCAAATAGGCATCCAGCCAACAAAGTCTACAGCTGTGCAATTTGGAATAGCGAAGTGACTAACCTCAAAGAACAAGACTGGAATTCTGGGATACAACACTTTGATAACTTGTTTATGTAGAGTATCTTCTATTAGAACAGCAAATAACTTCAACTCTTTTTCACAGTGTCATGAGTTTTCCACAAGATGTATAGACTATATTCTTTTCAAAGAGGAATGGGATCATTAACAGAAATATTATTGCCGGTGGTTGACTTGGGGGGGGGGGGGTAGAATCTATCCAGTACTATGATTCTCACTCCCTTCCCCATCTCTTTTGTTTCCTCACCAAGGGAAGTTGTTAAATACTATAATAATACTTTGCACTTATTATAGCTTTTAGGGAACCTCAAAAAACTTTACAGAGATCAGTAATTTGTAGGCACATTTTATAGCTAGAGAAAACTGGATAGCACTTAGCACACTGTAACACTACTGGACTACAAACATACATACATAATAATTAAGGCTGCAAGTCTGTCATGGAGATCACCGATTCCATGACTTTCCGGGAAGTCCATGACTTCTGCAGCAGCTGGGGTGGCTGGCCCTAGGGCTACCTAAGCAGCTGCTGCTGAGGCAGTCTCGGACCAAAGCGTGTCGCCGCCCAGCCCCCTCTCCCCAGCACCCGCGGCAGTCCTGGCACGCGCGCCGCCACCTGGCCCCTCTTCCGCAGCACCTGCGGCGCCCCAGACCTTGCATGCACACGCACACACAGACACACAGACCCCTCCAGCACCCAAGATTTAGTCATGGACAGGTCACGGGCCATAAATTTTTGTTTACTGCACCTGACCTGTCCATGACTTTTACTAAAAATACCCATGTTAAAACGTAGCCTCAATAATAATGTAACTCGCCTAATGTCACACAGTAAATCAGTGACAGAATCAGACACAAAATTCAGTTTTCCAGATTCCAATTCTAAACACTAAGTAATGCTGCCTCTCTACATTCCCAGCCTTAGCTCCTCCTCTTCCCACCTCCTGTCTCCTTCTACGCCCTACCATTCAAGCATCCTCAGGTGCAGTTTCTGACTAATTTTCCTGGCAAGATTCCTGGATTTCTTTCAAAGTCCTCTGTTTTTCACTAAATTCACTAACATTTGCTGGCACAGAAGTTAATGCATCAGAGCAAAAATAGAAAGAAAAAACAGAGGAATGCAACGGGTCTAATTCCTATGTATGTCCCAGTAAAATTGTTCATCTTAAGCATGGGCTAGCAACCCAAACCACTCAAGGAGGGTTTGTTCAGAAATATGTGGCCAGAACCATAAGCTTTCTCCATTACAAAATATGTCATCTTATAATTTAAAAAAACAGTTTGTCACAGTGGAAGTGCAACCCTGCTACAATATGTAAGGAGAGTCAAGGACAAATGACAGTCCTAACACTGGCATGAGTGGAGGGTATCCCTTTGTGCTAGATTACTTTCCCTTGTCCTGCAGGTCATAATATGTCTATCAGAGTTTATGGTGCTGTGCCTGAACATGTATTAAAATGTTCCGCACTAATGAAACAAAGAATTAATGTTCTGTATTTTTTGTTTTTTAAAAAAGGAAAAACCATGAGGGGGAGATTTCATTTCCTAAGTAGGAAAGTCTACATTAATAATTTTCCCAGCAGGCCTTCAGTAGTTTTACTGAAAACAATCACAGCCTTTGTTTCTCAGATCCTCTTACGTCTGACGTTCGCTCAAAGTCCTCACATCAGCAGCTAACTAAGAAAAAAAAAATGTAAAATGCTGAACTTCATTACAGAGGTATCCTCACAGCTCATTTTAGTAGTGCTGGAAGCTGGACACCACAGGCATATCTTCAGATAAAATTAGCCAGCTGTTCTACTCAACACTAAATTTGAGGGACACCAGAATTTAAGTGCATGAGTAGTGCATTTTATTGTCCAGAATCAGTTTCACCACATTTTCAAATCAGAGGGAAACTTCCTCTAATCTACATCGCTTCATCACAGGTTTAAAGAAAATCCCATGAGTAATTCAATACTTTTACAAAGGAGCAGTATGGAGATGGAACAGGAAGGGCAGGATCTACATCTTCTGACTAGCATTAGACTACAAATCATCTACAGTCCTCTAGCGACTGTGATGAGGCTGCACCAATATCCACTGTTAGGTACAGCCCACACCGTTTGTTAACAAGACTCAGGTGTAAGAGACACAATGAAAGGAAGGAAACACAGGAAGAGTATATTAGATACAAGGATTCCCATCTCCACCCAAATATATCCTGCTTGACTTTGTTAGCAAAAAAATGTTAGAGAACATTTCACATTTTAAAGCAGCTATAGGAGGAAAAAGTTCTGAGGAATTTTGTCCCTTTGAACTTCCAAGTAAAACCTTAAGTAAGATTATGCAAACCTAAAGACCAATCCTGATTAGTGGGAGGGGGGAATGCAGCCCTTTTCCAAATAAGTTCTTGAGGATTTCTCCTCTGCTGCTAGGGTTTGTGTTGGATAAAGAAAGCCCTCCTAACAAACCAGCATTCTTTTCCACCTGATCAGAGCTAATTGGCCCCCCTGCAGACAAAATGACCAATCACATCAGCTTCAGATGAAAACCAACCCCCCTCCACCCCCCGCATTATAAACAGAGGAATGAGACATGTAAACCCATTTCAAAGAAGAGATCTCTACAAACAACAATTGTGGAAAGTTTCTTGCCTGTACTGGGACCAGAACATAAGATTATCGCAGTTACTTTTTGGACCCAAAACCTCTCCCCCTTTCCCCTGCACACTGATAAAAGCTTCAGAGACATTGGTAAGTACACAATAAAATTACCTTTTTGGCAAAGTTATTTACAATAGTATAATTTTTACTTTTAAAAAATGATGCAAGTTATTTTCAGAGTGGAAAGAAAGTTGAGAGAGCTTTTGCTTTTGAAGCTTCCCTACTGGAATATCACCCTTAAACAAAATATTTCTGGAATTCTTCTCAAATATTAACTCTTTTTCTAACTGATAATGCCCATAGTGGCATAAGAGGGAAGCCAAATCTTCCATCATTAAGAACCCTGGCAGAAAAGGGCATTGGAAGGCATCTCCACAATGCTCAGCAGATGCATACAACTGAAGCTAAGGTAATCAACTATTGCTGCAGATGGAAAAAGACCAGGGAGTCAAACCGGTATTTATTTTGATTTGGTTCAGACTTTGGTTCAGTTGCATTCAGTGTGTTTGGGTTTGGTTCTGGTTCAAGCAACTAAAAATAAATAAATAATGGTTTGGTAACTGGTATGAACTGGTTCAAACCAAATTTCAATCCAAAAGAATGGAAGTAATTTAAAAAAAAGTTGAAATTTATTGAAACTATTTTCATTTTTGTCCATTTACTTTTTAATTGTACATGAGTTTTCCTAGTTCTTGAGTTGTCAGATAAACAAACAATTTGTTTGAGCAAACTAAAATACCATCTTCCAAACTAGACCTCTGTGGTGAAGTGATAAATTTGAGTTTGAGGCAATGGTTCTGCCTCAAGTGGGGAAACTGGCAGGAGGAGCTGCCCAGGGGTTTGGGATGACTGGGAGGATGTCTGTCTGTGGCAGAGATAGGTTGGGGAGCCATTATCTTTCCTTGATGTTGAAGAGTTATGATTATCTTCTGGGACCAGAAGCATTCCACTTCTCTCACCAGGGGGAAATCTCAAAGTATGTCTACACAGCAGTAAAAGACCTGTGGCACCAAGTCTCAGAGTCCAGGTCTGGCTTGTGGGGATAAAAATAGCAGTGGAGACATTCAGGCTCAGGCCAGAGTGGGGGCCCTAAAACCCAGGGAAGTGGGAGGGTCTCAGAGCCCAGGCTTGCTGTGGGATTTATTTCTTTATTTATTTTGCCTCTTGCTCTCTCATGTGCTGTGCAGGTAGCTCCTAAACTTCTCTCTTTCGCTACTCTCGTGGGCTAGCCTCCTAGTCTCTTCTCATTATATTGGGGCAGGTCTTTCTGGTTGCAATCACATGCCTAATTATTATTTTGTTGTTTTATAATGAAAAGATCAGTTTTTTTTTTTTAAATGTTGAGCTTAAGAAATGCTGAACCTTTATTTTCACTGGTAACTCACATTTTTTTTCAGCTCAGTTTTGATTCAGGTTCAGTACATAGGACAAAACTATGGTTCAGGTTAAGTTCTGGTTCAAATAAAAATAGTGGTTCAAACTGATTCTCCGGTTCTGGTCTTTTCCAGGAAACTAAACAACTCTCACCCTTCTACCTTCCCCCTGCATTCATCAGAGCCCAGTAAACATTTAGCTTTAAATGATGATCTCATGACTAAGGTCAGTTTCAGGGATCTGTCAATGGCAAACTGAGCATGCCTATGAAATAAGAGTCACACTATGAATTAGCATGATTGTGTTTTGTTCATTTGAAGGCAACTATTTAGGAGGATCATGCATGTACCACAGGCATGAATTGTATTGGTCTGGAATATGACTGGTTGTCTGATATAGGTCACTGGGATAGTTTGCTGCATACAGGACAGGGGCAGTATTTAAGAAAATGTGAAGTTACAAAGATGGATAGCTAATAGAGGTAAACATGGGCCAATTTTATCCTGATATTAAATGTCAAATGTCTAGAGTTTGTGGACCAGCTCCTTGCTCCCCTCCTAACTCTCCTGATCTCCCCCAGTGCCCAATAATAAACCTTTATTTAGGACTTTGCATCCAGATCTCTCTAAGAGATTTCACAAATGTTTACCTTACAGGAGGAAGTTTAAACAGTTTCTTGGTAAGGATTTTCTAACATCTTCAAGGAGACCAGATAGTATAGGGCACTCAAATGTAACTTCATAATCAATGGTTGAAATAATAGTCTAATAGTTTTGAGCAGTACAGTAGCATATCAATATTGATCTAGTCAAAATCTCAGTCAATAAGGAGGCTTGCTTTTGGTTTATATTTTAATGTAAACCACCTCCCCCCGCTTTTCTACCATCAATCTTACCTCAAAGTCTTTCAGCAGTTTAAAATTTAATTAAAAATTCAGTGTACAGATTACGCTTTCTTTACTTCAAGAGAATATCTTGCTACTGCTCCCTTTTTACTTCCAACAAGTGCCTCAGAATCACAGAATATACAGGTCTTGGCATCTGCCCTGGAATTCATGCCTTGCAACAGAACTGTGTTGCAGAAATTAAGTTATTTTCGCGCTGGTGGGTACAAATTAAATTTTGAAAATGTGAATCAACTGTAAACCTACACCTTGCCTTCCTAATTCTGCAAGAAACTTCACATGACAGAGCTGTTATTCTAACTGCCCCCATTCATCTCAATGGCGTGTTAACACAGAATCCTAGAGACAATGATGTTTAAATATCAGCAATTTTACTGCTGATAGTTGTAGCACAAGCATACAGCTAAAGTGATTATCCCACAAACCAAACTGCCTCCTGTGCCTCCACAGATGCCAAAAGCACCAACTGTTCCCTTCCCAGCTTACCCTGACAAAATTCTATGATGTAGTTACGCACCTCCAATACAAAAATCTATAGTAAATATGAAGTGTGGGGACAGCATTAAAGAAACTGGATTTAATGTCAAACACCTCAGACACTGCTGTGCAGACTGTGTATTAATCTCCTTAAATTGAAATTTAAGTGAAGCTGCCACAGAATCTAGAGACCTTACTGCAGAATTTAAGTCCATTTTGCCATGAAGTGCACAAGGCCTCAACAACAGTAAACATGAGCTCTAGCTGTTTAAGTTACAGCAATGCCAATTAAACTTGAAATAGGTATAAAACATTTTTCTGTTATTTGTGCTCACGTAATGTAAGCTTGGATTTTACTTACTTCCTCACAGCAGAGGCACATTAGTCAATAGGACTCTACTAATATTCTCAGAATTATGCTCCAATACGCCACTAAAAGGAAAGTGAAGTCTAAATTAACTAGAACGATTACTGTGAGCTTTTGTGCAGTTATTCCCAGCAAATTCTTTTTGTAATAGCATTTTTTTCTACACCAACTAGACTCCAAACATTACAATCTACCTCAGAAGCTTTTCAAGGTCAATTAAAATAGAATTTGCAAGTGATGTAGTGGAGAGTGGGAAGCTAGGGTAGCACTCTGAAAATGTTTCGCTGGAATGCTAACCCAAATGAGAAACTATTCAAAAGCCCTAACAACAAAGCAAGGTGGTGACAATCTTTGCAGCTGAGAACAGCCTGAAAGTGCATTTGCTACAATCGCCTTGGTCAGGGGGTAGACATGAAGAGTCTTAAGACACATTTGGTGTCAGAATTTTGGAGCTCCTGTTCACAGGAGTGAGGCTGAGCATGAATTACCTAGAGAAGCAAGGGCAAGATAGGAAACTAGGGTGGCATGAAGAGCCACAGAGCAGAAGGCAGAAGAAAGTGTATTCAAACTGGCAAAATGAAGCAGAGTATAGGGGTTCAGGACAATGTACTCTTGTAACCATTAAGCTCTATAGTAGAAAGTAGTAGCTGATGACATGAACTTCAGGGGTATGCTGAAGTGGTATTATACAGCTGCAGAGAACGGCTTTATCGTGGATAAACCATCAGGGAGCCAAGAACCAGAAAAAAAAAAATCAGATTCAATTAAAAAGCCACCCGGGATCTGCTATGGAAAAGAAAAGAAACAAAGCATGAACTACCTTGATGCTTAAAGACATTAACTCTAGCTACCTTGCCATGATTTGCTTCAATTCAATTGATTTATCAGAGAAACTGGATTGAGGAATGGACAGGATGGTGAACAGAAGGTAAAGAAAAGACATAAAAGGAGAAGAGAAAGAAGCAGTGCCATGTACACTTCCGATTGAACAATCATCACTTAATTCTCAAAAAAGTAAGAGGCAACATAAGAGGAAGGACTGAAAACACTGGAATAATATATCAAAGGAAAGGGATGCAAAGGAAGAGGTTGAGAAAAATTTCTTTGGTAGCAGTAGCACTTCTAGTCTTAAGATGGCACGTCCTGACAAGCAGATTCATGACATAAGAACTGGCAAGAACAAGAGCAGACAAAGGCATAATAAAATCCAATGGGCAAATGTTGAAGCTAGTCAGAATCAGACTAGAAACAATAAGTGAGGGTAATTAACCATTGGAACAACTTACCTATGGTTGTGGTGAATTCTCCATCACTGGACATTTTTTAAATCAAGACTGGATTTTTTTCTAAAAGATATCTAGTTCAAAAAGGAATCAACCCACGGAAGTCTTATGGCCTGTGTTATGCAGGAGGTCAGACTAGATGCTCACAATGGTTCCTCTTGATCTTATAATTTATCAATCTATGAATAGGGAAAGTAGAAAATATGTAAATCGTCTGACAAAGAGGCGGGGGAATAAGATGGGGAGAGGAGAGAAGTAGGTAGAGAGTGAACAGTTATCTTTCATCTGACTTCTCAAATGCATTCAAGTTGCATCTGCTTTTCAAAAAACACTTGCAAGGGCGGGGGTAGAAATCCTCAGACTTTCTAGATTTGTAATTCAAAACCTAAGCTTGCTAGTTTAGCTTCCCCCCTCATCCACACGCCACCCAAAAAACTCTTCTTCTCATCCTGAATCAGCTGCACTACTGTTGGAGTCCACTTACAGTTTTTCTCTCTCCACCCATCGTAACAAAAAAAGCTTTGTCCCATGATCTAACTTAAGTTAAGATACATTAGGTTCATACCCTCCTGGTTATTTTTTTAATAAACATTAAATATGGAATCTAAATTCATGTACTTTAAAATTATTCACTGCACCACTGATTAGTGACATAGCACTATAATCGCTACCACAGAAAGGACTACTTTTCCAGGCCAAATGGGACTACAGCAGCAGCTTATCAACCTCACCAGGACGATCTCACTGTTGAAGTCTGAAGTGGCATTGACAAGAGACTGCTGTGACAAGCACTGCTTAGGTTAATAAAGATGGCGATATTCTTTTTTCATTCTGAAATACCTTCAAGATCGTTACAGTACTGGAATTTCCCTAATAGAAAATGTCAAACAATTTGATGTAATTAAGAAAGCTGGATGCAGGAGAGGTTTCATAACTTTAAATCAATATTAATAAACAATTAGTAGTAATCAAATAATAAAGTTGCTGTATCAACCAAGCTCCAACCTTATCTTGACTGTGCACTGTGCTGTAGTGAGATGATAGTGCTCTACTGTAGTGTGCAGTTTTAACAGAATATGAGGGAGGAAAATGAACCTGAAAAACTATTCCATATATTTGTAAGGGTATATATTGCTTGTCATTACTAGATTTTGTGTTTTTTTTATTTTTTAAATAAGGAGTGCCTCTGCTTTGTCATTCTATAGCCCAAACTACTCATGAAACATGGCATAACAACTGTCATCCAGACCCCATAGCAATTTACACAAAATGCAGTTTTCCTCCAAGAACTAATATGGTTTATCCCAAAGGCATTTAGGTCTTTACACATTTGCCTTCCTTCCAAGTAATCGAGTACATGTTTCTCATGATTGCAGCTTATTCCAAGAATCTAAGATGATAGAGGCACTGGCTCCAATTTGTTCTGCACACAGTCCCATCAATCCTACTGACTAGCCATAATACTCATTCTATAATCCCCCTCAAGGCACTAAACAAGGCCATTCTGAGTCTTAATGCAACACACAGCATTTCAGACCAGTAAATCTGATACCTGGTACTTAAAGCACTTTGAAGATTTTACTCTGTTTACCTTGTGATTTTCTATCACTGCTGCAAGACCAGAAACTATATTCTTGCAGAGCTAGCTGTGGAGCAGCCCAAAGACTGAACTAATAGAGACTGAATAGCCTCAGTGAAGGGCAGTCCATGGAGGCCAGGATTAGGGTTATTAATAGAGTAGACTGTACTCAGCACTCCCAATGATTGACTCAGCAGATATACATCAGTTACTCATGCTCTGTGTATGGAGGAAGGAGTGGCGCATTATTTAAGAAAATTCTGCCTTGTTTTTCAGAAATATAAAGACGACCTGAAAAGCAGCTCTGTGGGGCTCAAAAGCTTGTGTCTCTCACCGACAGAAATTGGTCCAATAAAAGATATTACCTTGCCCACCGTGTCTGTCTTGTATTTCAGAAATACATTAGAATCTTAAAAAAAAAAAAAAAAACCCTGATCTTTGCCATAATATAGTTGTGATATATTCATTGCAGAAAATAAGAAAACAGTTGTACTTAATAGGAGAATGGAGGCACAGAATCAAAAGGTAGGAAAAAGCCTCAAGATCCTACTCAAACTATCGATTATTCCTCAAGCCCCTTGGATGCATGTTCCAAACAGAAGTACAGCATATTTTTATGCAAGGGGAACCCACCGCCACAAGCAAAGAAAACAGTAAAAGGTCTGTTCACAGTGCTTACCAGGATATGTTAATGATCATACTTAAATCTACATATGAAGATTTAATATCAAGAACAAATTATAAACTAATAAACCAAATGAGTCACAGGACCAATTCCAGGATCAATCTGTCATTGATCAAATAGGAAATAAAGTAATTTCTATCTTTGTTAAAGCAGTCCTCATTTTACCACGAACAGGTCAACTACTAGGTAGCCTGGTATGTACAGTGGAAAGACCTTCAGAGAAAGGCATGAATCTTTATAGCCCACTTAATAGCACATCCTCTCATATACATCTTTATGCCCTGAAGTATTTGTATAAAGAGAAACTGCCTAACTCTGTTTATTTCTTCATAAACAATTTGCCTCTACACTAGCCAGTGGCACTGAGTGTCATAACTAATTAATGCAATGGATTAAAAACCTATCAGTTTTATATATTTGATGGCTTTTAATTGTGTGCCTTCTTGTTTTATGGGAAAAGATAACTAGCGATAGGAGCTCCCAATAGGATTTCTCTTCCATTCAGTATTAATATAAAACTAATTTTCTATTCAAGTGTAATAGTCTCCTAAGCCAAAAGTTTTTAAAACTTAGGTGACCATAGTTCGGCTCCTAACTAACTGCTTTTCAGAGGAGCTGAACATCTACAGCACCCAGTCAAGTCCCTAACATCTGAAGGTGCTTGGCACCTCTGAAAAGAAGGTTATTCTTACTTAAGATCCTAAATATGAACGTAGGACACTATTAGGCACACAATTTGCAATTTTTGGCTCTTGACTTTTATATTCCCTCATATGCAACTTCACCTTCACTTAAAAATGTCCACGAATTTCTCTAAACTTTTTTTTTCTGCTGTTGCAGTGGGGTTTGGAGGGTTTTATTTTTTAGTTAAAGAGACCAAAACTGAATGCTGTATTTAAGCTGAGGACTTCTCATCAATTTATATAATGGCATAATATTTTCCGTATTATTCTCTATCCCCTTCTTAATACAGCTTAACATCAGCAGTGGCCTGAGTATGTTCAGCAGAAGAGGCTCTCCCCCAGGTACCAAAATTCTAGTCAATAAGAGAATATGATTGGTAGAGGTAAAGGCGATTTTAAAGAGGCAGAAAGTCAGGAACATCTGTGAGGAAATTTTTGAATTATAGAAGTGAGGTGGCTAGACACAGCCTTCCCCAAGAAAGTAGATAAGGGGAAGAACTGTTGTTAACTATTAGCTTTTTATTATTCTTTAGATTGCTATATTGCTTTGCTAAGATGAATTGCAACTTCTATCATCACAGATGTACAATATTAAAGTCTGTTTTCCACACAAGCTGCAGTGCTACATCTGCTGATCTGCCATATTAGCACAGGTATTTGACCCAAATATAAATTTTGGGGGGGTAAAATATGACAAATCTGTTTAAATGAGTAGGTAGGGGAAATTTTAAAAGTAGTCTGATGTTTAATTTAGTCTTTTTTAGCTAACCGTTACCACAAAAGCAGTGGTAAATTCCACTCCAAACTCCTAAATCAATCTTCTCTGGATTGCAATGTTTAAGACATTCTTTGTTGGGTGCAGGTTGTATTTGGTCCCCGGCTGATATATCAGAATCTGTGAACATTAGCTGAAATATAAATATGCAGGTGTTTAATGAATTTTCTCTTTTTAGTTTTCAGAAGATGAGATCAGATATGATAGACAGCAACAACACCAAATCTAGTGCCCCCCTCCTGGATCAAAGGCACTTGAGGATGGTGACTAAAGATGGACACAGCACACTACAGATTGATGGCACCCAAAGGAAAGGTCTGGCATACCTACGAGATGCTTGGGGAATACTAATGGACATGCGCTGGCGATGGATGATGCTAGTCTTTGCTGCTTCTTTTGTCATCCACTGGCTAGTCTTTGCAGTGCTCTGGTACCTCCTGGCTGAGATGAATGGGGACCTGGAGTTGGATCATGATGCCCCACCTGACAACCACACCATTTGTGTTAAGTACGTCACCAGCTTTACAGCTGCTTTCTCCTTCTCCCTGGAGACACAGCTCACTATTGGTTATGGCACCATGTTCCCAAGTGGGGACTGTCCTAGTGCTATCGCCCTGCTTGCCATACAGATGGTCCTGGGGCTCATGTTGGAGGCCTTCATCACAGGTAATCAGGTTTATTTCACAATTTTAAATAGGGTAGGTCCTGTCAACCACATGTAGGGAGTAGATTTGGTAAAATTCTTAATCTCATTAAGAGTGCTTCCAGAGGGGACATAAAAGGAGTAGGGCCAGTTACTAAAACAACAACAAGACTGAAATTTCAACTTCAAACAGCTTTATAGCTGTCAATTATAATCCAACTCCTTTTAAGCAGTTAAAGACCTATAAAAAGGAGAGGCACTTGAATAAAAGTATTTCAGGATTTGTACTGGAAACCAGAACGTGTTGCTTTTTACGGCAGCTCCACTCCTGACACTTCCAACAAGTTATTTTACTCCATCTTCCTTTATTAATTTCTTTCTTCCAACCTTCTGCTGATTTGAGGTTTAAATTGATTTGTTTTGATATAGACTCTCACAGGTTTACCCTAAACTTTAGCTAGTTTGTTTAAAATTGGCTGAATTTTTTTATCCCTCTTCACTTCATTGTTAAGTATCCATGGGCAGTCAACAGCCAGAAACACTTCAGGATCCCAGTGGTACTTAGTTTAAAGTTACTTAAAATGGCTGAACTATGGAATAATTTTAGACAAATATATTATACTGTGCAAAAGGTTAGTGTACTGTATTTTAAACAGTTTCAGTAAATGAAAGACCACAATTATATACCATAGCCAGTTCAAGGAGTGGATCTTCATCAATCAAGTGCATCCTCATTCTCCAAATATTACTGTTTTACACATGCTAATAGATTGTGGAAACAAAGTTTATGGAAAAAGCCAAGGCTCTTTAAAAAACAAAAACAACACCCTACAGTGGATTTATTTTGATTAATAAATTGAGAATAGAAACTGGTGCCAGCCACTATTAGTATGATGGGAGCTGTGCTATGTGTAGACTAGATCTAATAATTTGAAATCAAGCAGTCTGAGGCTAGTTAACAGTATGTCCATCCCACTAAGCCTCCTCCTTTTCTCATGGGCCATTCCATACAACTTGGGGACAAGTAAGAAACTAACCTGACCATCACGATCATAGTTAATTAATTCTTTCCTGTTATGTAGGTGCTTTTGTGGCAAAGATTGCCCGTCCAAAGAATCGAGCATTCTCCATCCGCTTTACTCATTCTGCAGTAGTGGCACACACAGAGGGCAAGCCATACCTTATGTTCCAGGTGGCCAACACTCGTCCCAGCCCACTCACCAGCGTTCGGGTTTCAGCTATTCTTTACCAAGAACAAGAGAATAGTCAGCTGCATCAAACTAGTGTGGATTTCCACCTGGACAGTATCACGTTTGAGGAGTGTCCATTCTTTATCTTTCCACTGACCTACTACCACTCCATTACCCCATCTAGTCCTCTAGGTGTTCTCCTCCAAGGGGATACCCCTCGCCATTTTGAGCTAGTAGTCTTCCTCTCAGCAATGCAGGAAGGCACAGGGGAAACATGTCAGAGGAGGACATCCTACCTCCCATCTGAGATCATTCTACACCATCGCTTTGCTTCTATGCTGGCCCGAGGTGCCAAAGGGGAATATCAGATCAAGATGGAGAATTTTGACAAGACTATTCCAGAGCTCCCAGCTGCCGCAGACTCTAAGAGTCCAAAGAGGACTGACATGAAGATCCGCATCAATGGACAGCACACTGACAGCTTCCAGATTTCTGAGACTGGTCTGATAGAATAGAATTTGGACGTGGTGCCATTTTTTTTTTTTTACATTAAACTTTCAGGTTAAACTTCCAGCCTTCCTTTTCCCCCTATTTTCTTTTGTGCTCTTTCCCCTTTTCTCCTTTCTTTTGATTGCAGTATAGTGTGCAGAGTAAAAAAAAGCATAAAGTGCACATGTAAACTGATGAGAGGCTGTTTTGACTGCACAGAATAGAAAGTCAGGAACAAGTACCACAGTACAAGTTCTGGGAAAGTACTAGTACTACCTGCTGAATTCACTAGACGATGATTAAAACTGCACTGACCCTGAAGTGTGAGACTTTCAGACTCCCACAGTTGACCAAAACCTAATTAAATGGTATGTGGGTAGAACACTATGGCAAAATGGGCAGCAACAGTACAATAGAAGACCTCATCTAAAACTAACCTGAGGTTAAATTACACTAGTTTGGGGATCAGCAATGAGGTAGTTATAAGATTGTTATAACCCTTTTACATTAACACTTTCTGGGTACATGGTTACATCAATTTTCAGATGGCAGAACATCCTACTAAAATCATTGCCAGTCTTTTCAGTGGCAGTGAAATGCATTCCAGATGTGCTTGTTTACTACATGAAATCAAGAGTACTGACTGCAGTTCTTCATTCCACCAGGTCAGAAGGGGGTACAATATCTCTGACAGGTCTGTGAAGACAGCAAGTGCCAAAAATCCTGAAGTGTATATATGACACAAACATGCTACAGTGGAGATATTTTCATACTTGGAAACATTTAATAAATTATTTCAGCAGTAGAAAACAGACTGTTATACAGCAATTCATGTCTCTTGGCACAGTGAAATTTCATGTGTTCTCAGCTTTGCACATCTTACACTTCGAGTAGTTCTGGCACCACAGGATGCACTATATCTACCAAGAACTGCATCCATTTATATTTTATGCTTTTTAATATAAACATCTATATCTGTACGCACAGCATATAGATAAATCATATCTACAAAATCAGACACATCTGAATTTTAAAATAAAAAAAATTGAAACAAGTGCTTTATAATGGGACTTTTTTTGCCAGGAGTACTTCGTAAGAATACCAAGGACAAGGAACCGGGCTCCTATATGCAACAATTTCTAATATGATCAAATGGGCTAACAGTTAAGTGGACTGTCTGCTGTCAAGTCACAGCTTCTCAGCAATGGAATGCCACTTTAAAATGGCTATTCTATATTCAGACTGAAACAGCCAACTGTTACCATCAAAATAAATGTTGCCATTCAAGGATAATTAAAAGACTTTTCCCTGCAACAAATGTGGCATAACCACTACTAAGCAGTTTAGATAAAAACTATATACTGGAGCTGATGTTATTGTAAAGTGACCAACAGCAGGAAATATAGTTTGAAGCCATATTAGGAGGGCACTGTCTATTGGAGGTCTTTTTTTCAAACCCAGAAGTACAGAGGTTGTCAAGCTCTTGTCACGGAGAACCTGGTAGGACAACTGTTTTGTCACAAGGTGCCAACTGTACCTCATTTCCAGAAGGTAATTTCTATTAAAAAGACAGCTAAAGAGATATTAAAATATTATTACTTTTCCATGTTAACTATTGTTGTAATTGTCACAGGAATGTGTTATGTACCACAGGAAGGAGGAGATCCATGCAATCATGAACTGGAGGGCAGGTGGCCAATCTCTGAATTCAAAAATAGTTCATTGCTCTGAAAATGTTTCCATATTCCTTCCCTACAACAATATAGGCTTCAAGGGCTGGTTTTATTATAGAGAATGGATACTTTCAATATTATGTCTTTCACTCTCAGTATAATGGAACCATATTTTAACCCACTGTAGTGCCTGTACAGTAATAGCAAACAACATCTTGTATTAATGTACATTAAATTGCCTTTGTCCTCACTTTTCATAGTTGGTCCTGCACGTGCACTTTAAAGTTCAGCTGTTTCTCTTCATAACATTATTGGCCATACCCCCAAGATATGGAAAGCGGAGGGGAGGGAAAAGGTGAGGGGTTGTGCTATATTTATCCTTTTCTATTTTTAAGCCCCAAACCAATATCCTACAGTACAGAGGACAACCCTTAAAAAGCAGCAGAACAAGAAATTGTACTGTAAATACTTCATTAAGCATGGAATAAAGTACAAAAATAGTTCAAATATGAGTACGGAGCTGCTTTACATATACTGACAATTCTCCACTTTAAGTAACATAATCCTGTATAACTCAATTGTTCTGCAATTCAGGAGTGTAATAATACATCTCAATCTATACTAAGGACACTTAATGGCGAGACCATACCAGAGCTATGGACATATCCCAGGTAACATAAGTATCCTTAGAGTCAGGATAATTCTGACTATACTGTATTGAATTTTGACTTTTACATCTTCTGTTTTAAACCATTCATTATAGCTGTTTTCAACTTTTAAAAGCAAGGTTAAAAGAGGTAAAAAAAATTAACATCTTGTATATAATTAAGCTTGTTCTTTTTAATGTTCAAGTATTCCTCACATGAAAGGCATAAATAAGCACTCAGATGGAAATCTATTTGCCACATTTAACACTGACTTTCTAAGTGTCTTGTAAATCATAAACATTTGTGATGTGTTAACAGTAAAACATGTATTCGTTGATCACTATTCCTGCTTGGAAACTGATGGACTTGTTTAAGATCAGATGCTGTGTAAAAACTGGACTGGCATTTGCCTTCCCATGTGATTTTTCTAGATGTCAATGATCTAACATATGACTTGTTTAATTGGCAAATAATCTAAGCCTTTGAGAAGCATCTTTGGGTATTTCTGGCTGAAAGCCATAGGGCCTATGGCAATTTGCATAGTAACTCCTCCAGTGTATAGTGCACCTTTGCCTTGAATATCAATACCAACACTGAAGGTTGCTGTTCAGTTCGTGAATTGATTGCATCAGCTGGAAAACATTTTCTGAATACTAAAAAAAGTGATCATTATCCCTCCATGAAGTTAGCTGTGTATCAATTAATGATAAAACGTTTGAAAATTAATCCTATTTATTGGGGGATTTGTATGGGGTTTCTTAATCTTTTATTTTTTTTAAACTTAAGATATTTTCCTGGGGGTGCCATGATTTCTGAATTACCAAAATATTCTAGAGTGGTTTATTTCCTGCTTTCTAGTTTCTACTTATCTATGATATTTTGACCACCCACAACACAGAGGGACACAAAGACCTGGTGATTCAGTGAATATCTGGTCAGAGAGCACTCAAGGCTTTATTGGAGAACCCACTATCATTGGTTGGTTTGGGCAAAGATGATGCCGTTGGTGGAAAGTGCAAAAGTGGGAACCTAAAGCCCTTGTCAGGTTTAGCATGGATAATGGTAACAAGTCACTGCACTCCTTTACTAATGAACTTCATCCCTGAACTTGAGAGAGCATCTCTCGGTGATAAATTTACTTTCATGCCAATTCAGTCCTTCACCTCTTGGCTAAGATTGCTAACAGTGCTAACTGTGTTTTTTGGTGATAGGAATGTGTGTACTAGAAAGTGAAACTAGGACCCTTTTGACCCCAAATCATTTTACATAAGCCACTAAAAAAACATTACATAGCAGTGACTTTTTCCCATTACTGACCAAGGTTGAAATTAAACTAAATCATCATTTTGTGCTGACCAACCCTTTTTGGTTAGGAGACTAAGGAAGGAAGGAAGTAAAGATTTTCCTTCTCCCAGGCGCACAAATCCTTAAAAGAGTGACAGGCAAATCTAAGTGGATATAGTTAAAACCCTGAGAGTATTTTATATTAAAAATCTGAACAGTTTACAAATATGGCCTTCAGCCGTATCTTCTCATGCTGTGATCCTGTCTGTTCTCACAAGCTAAACAGGATCAGACTGGGACAGTACCAGAAAGAGATGTGAAAGAAACAGTCCGGTACAGCAGCAAGTTATGTCAATGATCCGGTAGTTGGCATTCTTTCCTTTCAATAAGGAAATAACTCAATCAATAACTCAACAATCTGTTGGGGGAAGGGAGAGGGACACTCCTTCAGATGAGATACAAAGCCAAGGTCTTGACCACTTGTGGTTACTGAAGATCCCAAGACATGCTTTGTAGGAAGAGGAGCATCAACCCTGGCATCCTGACAAAATTCCAGCTGGGGTAATTATATCCTGCATACCTAAATTCCTCATGCCATTTCAATGAGAAGAGATCTGCTTCTCATCCTAAAGTGACATGTAGTGTCAATCTGCACTGCTAAACTGCTGCTGTGGTTTCATTAATAAATTAAGTGAATTCTGTGCATAGTTTGGTAAAATTGCAAAATGTTTTCACATCCGTCAGGATGAAAAGGTGCTAAAATAAATGTAATTTCATTAAATCAAGTTATTGTTGTAGCCACTAGTGCCTCCAGTCTGCCATTTCTACCCTCATTTGCCCTTGGAAGAATTCTCTGCTCTGTTTAAAGGAGCTAGTTTGCGGTTTTGCTCCTCCCCAGATTTCCAAGGAAGGAACTGTAAAACAGTACAATGGCCACTCTGTAGTTACATACTAGAATATCAAAAATATCAACCATAACCCTTAACTACCACCACAGCAGAAACACTGAAAATTGCTAATCTTTTGACCTCCCCCACTTTTTCAGAGAGATAGTAAATCATGAACACATGGAGAGGCAGAAGAGTTATGAGATGGAAGTATCAAATTAGATGTAGACAACCTCAAATTAACTCTAATTGGGGTCATTCTTAGGAGCAATGTCTCCTACAGAAAAAGGAAGTCCGGCAGAATTAGGGACACCTCTCTTAACTTTGTCGTCTTTTGAGCCAAAACCCTAGGAATCAAAAAATTAAGCAACCTTAAGAAAACACGATAATCAACTCCGATACCTGAAGAGAAGATTCAGAGGGCTTTGAAAATCAGATGGTGATTACAAGTTTTTTTTTAAGACACCATCACCATGGTAACTTGGCACCATTGTAAAATTAGCAATACACACCTACTGACCCTAAAGGGGTGAGATTTTCAAAGATAAAGGGCTGTTAGACACCCAGTTCCTACTGACTTACAGTAACTGGACCCCTAAATGCCCTTTGTGCTTTTGAAAACTTCTCCTCCGAACAGGCAACATATTTTCTGCCCCAAGCCTTCCCCATACACTCACCAAAGAGCCATCTTAGCTGATAATGCTTCAAATAAGACAACCGATACCTCTTTCACTGTCCCTTAAAAATGGCCAGACAATGACTCTGACTAATTTCCTGTGAAAGCAAAGAGCTCCACAGTCAAGAATCCCTCACTGAAAATGCTGTTGTATGTTCCAGAAGGTATATCAAGAGAAAAACAGCAAGAGCATTTTGACTAATTGCAAATCCATCAAAAAGCATGGAGGACAGAATTGCTGGGACAGTCAGGTCTCAAATACTTCAGGATCTACTTTTTGAATGTGCCCCCAGAATCAAATTGAAGTCAGTGCCAAGAATGGAACATGTGTGTGTTCGGACTGGCTTGCCCCAAGTAAGCAGCAAGCTCCAGATGAAGTTCAAGTGGAGGATTTGTTACAACTTCAAAAATATATTGCTTCTGACAGAGAGCAATTACACAAAGATGAGAACCTCAAGGAATTCCTGATGAAGAGAACTCAAACAAAGCAAGAACAAGCAAGCGCTCAAAGAATGTTCTAAGGAACTTTTTGATCGTGCATTTTAGAGGATAATAAGGTTTAGAATGGCATATATACATATGTAGTAACTATCTTACCTGGATCTTTTCGCCCTGGTTTTTCAAACCGCCTGTCTCCCCTAGAAAGGCAGAATAAAAGTTTCAAACAAGGCTTTGGAAGAATGCCATCATTTCAGGTGCAACTCTCACACATTTCCTCTCTCTCACTAGAGCTATGGGGCCAAAATTTTAAGGGTAGTTAGGTGTCCAGATGCTTTTGAAAATGCCAACAGGAGCCTATCTAGATCTTTAGGCACCTTAATACCTTTAAAAATCTAGGCCTAAATCAATGCAAACAGACAAAAGGCTAAAACTAACAGAAGAGCCCTCTCTATAAGAGCTATACAAACTTTCACCCAAAGATAGCTACTATGGAAATGAAGGTTTCTAGAACACCTCACTTTCTCAGGCCTTGGCTACACTTGTGGATTCACAGCGCTGCTGAGGGGAATAGCTTGCAGCGCTGCGAGCGAGCGAGCGTGTAGCACTGTAGGCGCTGATTATACTGGCGCTTTACAGCGCTGCACTCGCTGCGCTAGGAGGGGGGGGGGGGGTGTTTCACACCCCTGAGCGCAGCAAGTGCAGCGCTGTGAATTGCCAGTGTAGCCAAGGCCTCAAAGCAGTGCTCTGTTCATGCCCACAAGTCATCAGCAATATAAGCTTTTGAACAGTGTTTTGTTCGTAACAGCTGGGTTTCTAGCAACATCACTATATGGTATCCACTTTAGAAATTCCAAGACAACCAACCAGTACACATTCCTACTGAGCCTTTCTGAAATATCTTTTGTGAATGAAGGGTGCAAGAATGGGATCCAAGCAGGTGCATCTACAGTACATTTTCAAGTCTAGGCTTTTCTGTTACCTTTCCTCCCAGCTCTGAGATCTATGCATTTCCCTGCCTCCTCCTCGCCCAAATCCACCCTCCACTTCGTCAAAACTTCTTTGGTAGAAACCACTCTCTCCTCGGCCTCTGCCTGCAAAGACAAAAAGCCAAAGAAAAACATTTGTAAAAAGAAATTTACTTCCCTTTTCTAATGTCAACGTGACCTCATTTTCTTATAATCTCCTTAATGAGACACGGCAATCTGATAGTGGGCAAGTCTTTCCTCCATCTCATGAGATTAAATCCACTGGCTTAATATTTCAAAGCTAAACGTTTCCCAATAAACTGATTTTGGAAATTAACATTTACATTTCAAGACACATCATTTCTCACAAGCTTGTACACCAAACTTCATCACCATGTTTGGAGCTGTTCATGGAGAAGGACAAATTAATAGGCTGCCAAATAGGGCAGGTTTAAAGTGAACATGAAAATAACTTTTGGGAATTTGGAAATAAGGTAATGAGTCTTGGTTATAGTCCATCACACAAAGTAATGCACAGAAGAGCTACACAGAACAAGGGGAAAGGAGGTGAAATAGCATAGACTAAAGAAGAGGAGAAGAAACTTGGACTATTATGTAACAGTTCCATTATTAAATGCATAGATTTTACACAGGAGAGAAAGATGTAATAAGTACCACACAAAAAAGATAATCAAGATGTGTCAAAGCAGTTTCTATAGAGCTATAGAAAAACTAGAAGAAACTGATGCAGAAAACTAATGAAGCAGAAAGTGTATAAATATGTGGTAATATGCAATAGATCAGTATAAACAGAGTGCATACTAGAATACTGGCAGTATTGACACTGAAGCACATTAGCCTTATATTATACTCCAAAAAGACAAACTTGGTTTATGAACACATTCAGAATACATGAAAAAGATAATCAAAGCTAGCGCCATTATCCTGAAAAAAGATGAACAGCAAAAAAATGGTCATATGGTAGGCATAAAGATACTGAAGCCATGTCTTGACTAAAAAAACAGGTTGCGTTGTATAATGTGTTAGAAAATACGTTTTAGCAAATATGATTTTAAACGGACTGTACCTAGTGCAGAAAGGGTAAATTGCATTTAAAAATAAGATAACTGTTTTTGTTCAACCTTATCTTGTCCCATAATTTACTCTCTTGTGACCAAGTTCTCCAACCTTCCCTATTTTCTTATGGAAGTAGAGTGAAGAAGAAGTCTAGAGTACCTGAGGCTGACAGTCTTGATGTAAATGTGGAATAGACAAAGCACAGAACACAAGGTCTATCTGATATTTCAAAGTCAGAATGGAGAGTACAGAAGCCTCTCTAACGCAAAGATAGAGAAAAAGGACCAAAAAAAAAGGGGGGGGGCATTTTCAAAACACTGTAAATGAAGGTGGGGAGCACTGCTCTTATTATTTGTACTACAGTAGTACCTAGAGGCCTCAATGTGCTAGATGCTGTACATATATATAGTGAGAGTGAGTCTCTGCCCTGAAGGGCTTATCATCTACACAGCCAAGACAAAGCAAGTATTATCCCCATTTTACAGATGGGGAACTAAGGCACAGAGATATTAAGTTATCGGCCTAAGATCACACAGGAAATCTTTAGCAGAGCTTGGAACAGAACCAAGATCTCCTAGGCAATCAAGGGTCTCTAGTCACACCATACACGTTAAGTAGAAAGTAGATGTGGCTTTAGCCCCCTCCCCACAAATAAATTAGCATGTAGCATGCAGTGTTCATGTAGTCAAATTGTTAGAGGTTTAGTACTAAGAACTGCCATAACAGCAGTGTGTAAGAATTGATCTGGCTGTAATTTACTTTTCCAACTCAGATATTTTAAAGTAGAATTTCAGGTTGTCTATGGCCTAGATATTTGTGAAATAGCAGTGAAAATGGAAAAACAGGAGGAAAAACATCCTTATGCCTCAGTTCAGAAATAGGCAGCACAATGCTGGGTAAAGCTGCCTCAGTTATGGCCTCTTACTTGAGCAGGAAAACAGCAACAAAAAAAGTCTAAATCTGTAGCCCAGTCCACAAAGAGACTTAAATCCTTTCCTTCTGACACCCACCTTCATGAATGTAAACATTCCAGTCCTCCAAGCACAGGGCTTAACTACACTCCACAGGGAGCTCCCAGGAAAACAAATCAATTAGAAAGAAAGGTCAAGTGCAAGACCTTGGATTGCTTGTGGAGTATTACTTTAGAACAGAGAAAACTTGTTAGTCATAACTAAAGCGACACCACACAAAATGTATGAGATTTTAGGTACGAGCAATTTCACACTCCAGCAGATGGTTTTATGATTAAGCTGCCTTGATAATGCTAACTTAATTGTAAAGTTACACTTCAGAATATAGTTTCACTGAAAATTTTTACTGACAATGATCATTAAAATAGCCTAAAGAAACTTCTGCACTAAGAACTACAAACCCACTTGTACATGCCTAGAAATTTATGGAATGCACTCAAATTAAGTAATGGGGTATTTCAGCATTACTGCGAATTGTTAAATTGTGTTTAAAAAGATTACTTCTCTCATAGCTAGTCATCTATTAGATGTGGCAATTAAGTTAGCCATAGTGAAAGTTCATATTTTTGATAAGAGATGTCTGGACAACTGGAAGTAATGAGGAGCTTGTATCTGAACAAAGAAAGATTAACCCAGAACAAAAATTTAGCTATCTTGAAAACTGGGTAGGTAGTGGTAGACTGAAGGAAATACAGTATCAATATTCAAAGAAGAAATGAAGAATGATTCTATTAATTATAATGCCATAAATATAATGCCTATCCCTAGACAAATAACGAACCAA